AAAACTATATATTGCTCCCTCCTCCTTACATACATATAACTTGCTTTTTCAGGAGAAGGTGTTTGTAGGATAGCTCACTTTCACATCATAAATTCCCCAACTCCAAGTTTGCCAACAAAATGTACTTTTTAACATGGGGACTATAACATTTACATTTGTGTTGCAAAATTAGCAGAGCTTTTGGAATAAAACCAGAAACAAGGGAACATTCACACCTGTCACAGTTTGTTTTCCCTCAGAAATGTCAACACAGGCTGAGACTTTTCAAGTCCAGCTGGTCTCCCTAGCTGCTCTGAAGGCGATGATCCATTACGTGTGCATGCACATACACACACACTCCGTGTTGTGGCATAACAGCTGAACTAATTGTGAATAGCATTCAGTATTAATGAGAGATCTCATTCCTGCTGGAGAAGCCAGCTTCAGCAAAAAAAATGACCTTCGCGTGGACCATGCTTGGTCTGGGGATGAAGGGAGTAGTACTGAGCGAGCAGCCCACCATTTCTCTCTCCACTGAAGCAGAACCACAGCAGAAGCTCTCCAATTTGCTGCTTAGGGATTGCCCCTAAACAACTTTAAACTAATCTCAAACTACTTGTCCCTGAAATACAGTTCTCTGCCTGTGGCTGCCTGAGTTAGACTGTCAAACAAATCTATCAAGATGAATAGAGCTTAGCTAAGCACAGATTTTTGCCAAAGACACTACAACCAATGTCACCCTACTCCTTCTGTCCCTATCCAACAGACCCTCTTGCACGACCTCACACCTAAGCCAAAATAGTATCACTCTACAGGACATACAGGATAAAAACACCCATTTTAAACCAGCGTTAAGCTTCTAAGAAATGATCCCAGAGTCAGTTTAAATACTGCAGAGCTACTTCACTTCTGCCTAAACAAAGTGCAGATCCAAGCAAATCACTGAATGACTTTGCTCTGCCACCCACTTATTTTTTGATACTCTGGCACTACTATTCCCATGAACTTCCTCAGAAGTGCCTTCTAAACACAGGCTTGTCAGAGAGAGGAAAAAAACCTCTCAAACTGGCAGACAGAGATGACTTCAAGTGAGTGACATTCCTTCTTTTCACCTCAAGTCTACCCTGTTGCTAGCAGCAAGATGTGTCCTACAGAGACCAAAACACTCCAAGTCATGAAAGGGGGCAATAACCCCAGCATCACTTCTGGATCCCACACCTGCCACAATGACAGCCCGGCTCCTGGAAGCCTCAGCACAGTCCGACTGACATATCTCTCTTTTGCACTTCCATTCCAAACTGTTGCATAAAACCAGTAAGCGCTGTTAAGTAGTTACTTGCCTCCACAAATAGGTCTTTTAACAAGGTCTTTACACAAGGTAATAGTGTTTTTTCCTCTTTGTAACACAGAACCCCATTTCTAAAACCCATTAGCAGGCCTTCTGGCTGACCGACCTACTCAAGTGAAAACTATCTCAGCTATCCAGGTCTTTCAGCTTATAGGTGCAAGGTTCCTACCTTGAGTAGCCCAGAAAATGCTGACAGGTGCAGAAGTCACATCTTTGTTCTTTACCCAGCTGTTGTTGCGGTGCCTACTCCATGCAGAGATGACACAGAAGTAATCCCCTCTGTCACTTTCTGAAGTCCACTGGATTCGTAAACTGAAGGTGTCAGCAGTCTTTTTAGAGAAGATTATTTCCCCATTTCGAGTCCGCTCTCTGCTCCTGTCTCCAAGCAGCAGAGTCCAGTCCGCATCCATCGTGGCCAGGAGCTCTTCTGCCACCACATCGTCACTGCGCAGGCGCGGCCGGTAGTACCAGGAAACTGTGAAGCGGATGTTTGCTTCGGTGTCCTGCGCGTTTGTGATCCTGCAGTTGAGCTCTGTAGGGTCATCTGAAAACTTGGGTGTTTTAGAGGCATTCAGAAACACCTCATAGACTGGCTCTGCAGGAGAGGAAACCCAGAAGAGGTTAGAAGCTACAAGCAGAAGGAAGAAAGTGCCAGAGCTTATTAGGAGATACTGCTAGCTTCTAGCTTAGGTGCTTTCACAGACTGGATGTTAGAAGCCAGGTGCCAGAATACGCATTTTTCTTACAAGACCTGGGGACTGGCAACTTGGACTCCAGCTGTCAGACTTGAACCAGTCTGACACAAGCACCCCTAGGCCTGCATTTCCAAACAAGACCTTCTGTTTCGTATGTCTGGTCAGACCATTTGAGAAAAATCAGGACTAAGATCTTGTCGGGCAAAATTATTCCCTTCTTTAGGCCTGACCCCAAGAACCCACCCCGTGGGTTCAATTTCAGCCAGTCACCTTCTGCACCTGCTCAAATGCCTGGGGCAGCCTGCAGCAACCAGAGACTGGTTATTTCTAGCTTTGGACTGACCAGAGACATCCCATTTCCCCAATTCCTCTCCAGGGTAAGAGGCCATTTCCGATCCTGAACTGTCTTCTTTTCCACACATAACCATCCCATCACATCTCTACAATATGGTTCAAGAATGTTAAAAAACAACCCAAAAACCAAACACCTCACCCACCCACATACCAAAACCAGGGGGCATGGGTACCACCACTGGCACTGGCTACAGGCAGCACCAATAGCACTGCACAGCAAATTTCAGCAGGCAGCACAGTAAATACTAAGTACGCTAAGAGTCCAAGATGTGTAGATCAGAAGAGCTTCACAGTCTGAAGAGAGAAGTACATGTGGTACAGCTGTGAGGCTGCAACACCTCAAGCTTGAAATGGAGTGCCTGAAATTAATGGGTTAAGAATGGGGTGGTTGTATTTAAAACTGAAATAGCTGGCTGTCCAAAGCCTAAAAGCGATAAGGCAGCCACATGACTATTTTCTCTCAGACTACAGAGATAGTAAAGGAGAAAGATTACAGAAAGAACCTCACACCACAAAGGAAATGCATATTTATTTACTAGTATTAGAATATTTTTCTGTCTTGCTGTCTACTATAACTCAGAAAAAAGACTAGCTTTCCAGCTGTTTGGCCAATACTCATCACATGGCTTTTACATCGTAAGTGTATTCAGTGTTCTATATTTATTTCTTGCTTTATGTTTTGTTTGGCATTTTGCCCTCCTCGAAACAATTAACCAAAGCTATAATTGGGACAGAGATAGCAATCCAAGGCTAAAACTTAGGCTTAGCTCACCAATGAGCCAAGATAATAAAGCATCTTAATAGAACTGCTGCACAAACTGTGCGTGCACATGCACTTTTGGACTTCAGATGCAAAGGATAAAACAGTTGTATCAAGCAAGCTGGCTGCTGCTATGTCAGCTTGCAGAAAAGATCTTTCACCGTTAAGTTTTATGCATGCAGTGTCCTTGCATCTAGCAAGAACAAGGGCATTAATATACACCAGATATTAGAGTATCTAGCTGATACTGAAGATGAGTTTCTGCAGCGTTAAGCAGCACACAAGCACAGAAGTACTGTGTACATAAGTCCACAGTACCTACTACCAGTGAACGTAAGTGCAAATTTCTATGTATTTTCAGTATAAAGCAAAATAAAAAGAAAATGCCCAGAATTCCTCTGCTACAACCACGTCATAGATTATTAATGGTGGCCAAAACCCACTTTTGGTTTAAGTCCCTATAGATCCTACAGCTACACTACTCTTCCTGTCTCATTCACAAAAGACTAGTCTTCTCCAGGGCCTCATGATATATTACTCACGCTCTGCAATTTTCTTATCACTCCCCCTCATCTCCCCTTCCCCCCTCCAAAAAAGGAGGCATTCAAGACCAATTAATATTTCCACAGCAAAGATGACTATGAAAGCAGAAACTCTTTTCTAGGCAGAAACATAAGAAGGAAAAAGCTGCAAGAAACCCGAGTCCTTCGAAAATCACTTCAGGTTTGTTTTATTTGCGGGCAGGGGAAAGACCGCTAAGAAGAGTTTTGGCTTTGACAGCACCACTCCAGACAGGCGTTTCACCCTGATAGACGCTCAAACACAAGATTTAGAAAGAATAAAAGACTGGCTGGATAAACCTCATTCCTCCACTCTGTCAGCTGTCAAAGAACTGCCTCACTGACAGTTCAATGACTTAATACTCCAGCAGCTCTTAACTTCCATTAAGGAGATGTTGGTGAATTCTGGATGCAGTCAAATACCTCAAATGCTGAAAATTTATTCTGCTTTCCCTTGCCCTAGCAACCAAGCATCTGCTGAAGAGCAGATTTTATTCTATTCTGTTCCCAAATAATGACAAATTGGAACGGGAAGAGTAAGGAATAGTCCCACAGGTACGGGTGCTATGAGAGAATACGTGAACACGTGTGCGTGCACATGCACACACACAAGTGGGGAAAGGAGGGAACACTCACACATTGAACGTGCAATTCGAATGGCTGAATGAGGACAGGAAACTAAGATATTTATCACTTGCACACTTTGAGCACACATTACAAATGTACCTGGAAACAGCCACGGCTCAACTGCTCTGTACAATGCTAAAATGCAAAATCTGAAGTCACTGTTACTGGGATTTGACCTTGTGACACAGCTATTTATTTCTGAAAACCAGGCTTCAGAGCAGGCTCTCTATATGCCGGTCTAATTCAGTACTTTTATGTTGGAAGAGCTCTGCCTTTGTAACTGGACAGTACCACCAGTTTCTGATGAGAAGAGGCTCTGAACAGGTACACTGAGAGGGTTCAGGTCTGGATACTTGCATCCAGCCAAAGCTGGGAACAAACACCATGTACTACAGCTCTGCCAATTCACCCTCAGCTCACTTCTCGGTTCATTCATGCTTCCAACACAGCCAATAGTTTGTGAATTTTAGCAGGTGCAGATACCTTACCCACAGCATCCTGTAATACCATCTTGAGTTTTATTGCTTTTAACTTGAAGCTATTCTCTCCCCAAAATTAAACTAGGAGACAGAATGGGTAGGATGACATATCTAGACCTATCCCTAAAACAACACACTTTTTAGAAGTTTCGCTGGAGTTTCATTTTCAGTATTTCTCCTAAGTAACTTCTAAGCATATTTGCATAAAGAGAGATCTTCAAAGCTTAAGAGTTCAGCTGGGATAACGCAAAGCAAAAGCTTTACAATCTGCAGCATGCATATGAGACAGTGGATCTCCAAAACAGATTTGTCTTGGGAAAGATACTGTCAGCTTGCTCTTGTAGCCCAGGTAGATCAGATAAGCCTGTTGAACCTCTTAGCCACAGCTTCTGCTCCTCATTCAGTCAACAAGCCTTAAATGAACAACTGTTCAACACAGCTGCTTCTAACCAGCCCCTTGCAAAAAAATCTGGACATTGGCGTTATTAGAGCTGCAAGAAGGGAAAAGCACCATGAACAACTGTGGGATAAAGGAAGGAGAGACTGAAGAGCTCAAGTTTCTGTTTAAGTAAATTTTCTCCCCCCCCCGCCCTGGTGAATTAGAAGAACTTGCTGCAGACATGCTGAGGTAACATATGGAAGCCATAACTTAGAGTGCACAAACAATCCTTTGCTTGTCCAAAAGTCTAAAAATCCACTCATCTCTAGGACTGAACGATGAAAAATGCACACACTGAGTGCGATGTTAAATATTGCAGGAAAATCTGTTTTAGTGGCCACTATGCTAATCAACACTGCTAGCATTAAGCTAGCCACAAACCAGGTCTCTCTCTCAGTCACGCTACTCAACAGCTAAGTGACATGGTCTCATAAAATAGACCTGTGTGTTGAGAGGGGAGAGTAAAGCAGTATAAAGTCATGTTCCATTCTAAATCTATCAGTAGGATGTGGCGTGTCTCTAATGATTAAAATAAAACAAAAACCTAACAACTCTGAAAGCTATTAGAATTCATTATGAAGTTTCCACTACAAATAATTTTTGTGGTATATGACTTATAATAATCAGTGGAAGCATCTGATATCACTGTGTTCAGAGCTCAGAGAGAATGTCTGTTGCTGGATCAGAGTCCAGCTAATGGTACGAGGGAGGTGAAAGGGGACAACATGACAACAGGGGCATCTTCAGCCTCTTGAAAACAAGGCAAGCTCTTAAGTTCCATTTCCCAGTTGCAGACTGTGGAATGACACCAGAAAATGGAGTGCATGGGTGGGACATGTGGTAATATATCCTAAACCACTATACTGTACAAACCCAACACCCCATAGGGATAGATCAGTATTTTTATATGTGAGAGAGGTATCATAGATAATAGATGCAAATGCAAGAGAAACAGAAGAGATTCTGCAAGGTCCTCTCCCTTTTCTGATGGAATCAAGGAATGAGTGGTACATTACCCATGAAGTCTGAAAGCAGAATCACTCACCTAATGTTGTCACCACCACACTGACCGGTGCAGATGTCCTCTCCACCACCTTATACCAGCTTCCGTTGTGCAGTGGTACCCAAACAGCTGCTTGGCAGAAGTAATAGCCAGAGTCTTCTACATCCACATCACGCACCAACAGGCGATAGGAGTTCCTATCTACATGGCTCAGGCTGATGCGAGTTGAATCACTGACAACAGAATCACGGTCCATGCTCAGCAAAACCTGAGCATCTGACAAGGTATCATCAGGTGATGCAGAAAAATACCACATCACCTCTGCTTGGAAAATACCACTCCTGTCTGTTGTGATGTTGCATGTAAGATCCAGGGAGTCTTTTTCGGTCACAGACACATTGTTTGTTGAGATGACCACATCTAGAGCTTAGAAATTATGAGAGAAAAATTCAAACAAAAAAAATTGTTTTGTTTTGTTTGTTTAAAAAAAGAACAGTCCACTATAAGTTATCCAGGACTTCACATTCTGTTACAGAAGCTTCTGAAATAGCTCAGTAGCACTACCTTCAAATGCCTGTTGGATATTGAGCTGCATGATCTATTACAAGGCAAGTATACATTATCAGTCAAGCAAGGGATGCATGATGACGGTGGGGGGAGGAAGGGAGGGAGAATACGGTTTTTATAACTCAACAGCAACTGGTCCATGAAGGCTTTGTCCCAATCACAGACCACACGTCACCTTTGCACAGCAGGAAAAGGTGTACAGGATTTTCCAGTCTCACAGGAGGGTCAAGGTGTTTTGGGACTATTTCTCAGAAGAGAAAATGTCCACTGAAATCACTAGGAACTATATTGGAACTCAACCTGGTTTCTGCCGAAATGGTTTTGAGCTCCTCTAACAAGAACAGATTTAGATGAGAGGCAGTCACAGCCACATGCTGTAGTTCTGACTGACCTCAGGTGTGTTGCAGTAACATGAAAGGGAAGCAAACAGAAAGCAACAATAACTCCTTAAACTGCTGACTCCTCCACTTGCTGCTCTGACAAATACACACTGGGGACTTTAAAGCAATGCCAATAGCCACCTAAACAAATTTAACAAACTCCTCCACTGGCCAGTGAATATTTTTCATAAGTGAATATTTTTCATATACATAGCACATTGGTCATAGCCAGCATTCAAACAGGACCTTCTGCATGCTGTAGGTTACCAGGCTGGCCATAGCTTTGTTAAAAGAAAGCCAGTGGATGAAAGTGTCAAGACCAGGAAGAGAAAAGCTGGCCTTAGTTACTGGTGAGAGATGAACCAGGGGTGCTGTGTGTGTTGTTTGTAAACCTCAGTGCAAATCATTCACCAAGTTACCTGGCTATCACAGGTCTTCACTTGTTCATTCCCTCATTCTACACTGCCTAAAGATTAGACTTGGATCTCAGTGCAGCACTGTTCCCACAGCGCGTAATGCAGCTACTCTCAAACGTCTCAGCTGAGGCCAGCAGACTGGGCTGCTACAGCAGTGGCTCTTCTCAGCAGATTTATGCGCCAGACCACAAGGAAGAATATAGATTACTGCCTTAAACAGGCAGCTATGTCTCTCGTGCAGACTAGTGACTTCTATGTAAAACCATGTTCTACCACATAATAGGTACCCATCTGTAAAAGCTTTCTAGGATTATCATCTGGAATGAGAGACAACATACAAAGGTCAGAGCCAAACTGAGAAGCCATGATTACTGCCAATGAAACCAAGCAATACTCATCTCGCTGCTCACCGCCTGATAGCACAGTGCAGTCAAACTGAACGCAGGGTAGCAAGCCCACCCAAGCGGTAAAGCAAAGTCCACTGTCTGATGAGTATCTGCTTGGGACTTTGGTCACTGTCTTATCATGGGATTGGAACCAGTAGGAAAGCCTAGTTAATTGAACAGACTAATACCAGAATACAAAATAAGACTCATCTGCAAGATGAAGAGCAGCATTTCTCCAAGAAACCTGTCTGTGTTCATGAAATAGTGATGGGCATTCAGAATCCAGCAGTATATGCACACAGAGGGACCCTTAAGAGAGTTTACCCATATTTATGTATCCTCAACGCTCTTTTTTTTGGTTAGAGACATGTCTGAAGGCCTCACTTAGGCTTATATACCAGTTATGCACGGCACTATTAAAAAAAAGATATACAAGAAGAAAGTCGGGCCAAAAGACGTCATGATTTCAGGAGATGAAAGCCATGGACAAGTAGATAGGAAAGTAACAACAGAAAAAAAACCTACAGAGTTACACAAGAAACCTGTGCATGACTTTTTTCATTAGATATGGGTTGGTTTTTTTAAATTTTGTTTCTACAAATTCAATCCTGCAGTTTACAGCAGGTGAGAATAAGAGAAGTGCAGCAACCAGGCATACCATTTACAACTCATGTTCATTTTACCATGCAAGTGCAGAGGTTTCCGATGTTAGCACATGAAGCTTATGAAGTCCTACTACAGGATGCATGGGTAAAAATTTCCACAACATTTTTCTGGAGAATAACCCATCCCATTTCGCATAACTTTAAAAAAAGCCTTCAAGCCCCTGACAAAGTGCCAGTGCTGCAATGACTGAGCCAAAAATGCAGCCAAAAAAACCCTAAACAAAAAAAAAAAAAAAAAAAAAAAAAGCCACAAACAAATAAAACCACACACCCAAACCACATAAAAAAACCTCCACTACTACTGGTCCTAGCCATCCTCATCCTATTTTCAGCCACTGATTAAACCCCACCTACTTAAACCAAAATCTCCAAAAGTGCGACAAAACAGAGAATTACAGCCCTTAATTAAGCAAGCTCTGCCTCGGCAGAGAGCACCTGCAAGCTTCACTGTGCAACAGACACCCTGAAAAAGAGGGGGCAGATTGATTCTGTCAAATTTCACAGGCTAAGTACCACCAGGATACTAAAACTATATCCAAATGAGCCATTCACAGAAATCAGTCGTTTTGGTTCTCCCTAGAATGATCAAACGATTACAAAAAGGAAAAGATACCCTTGCTGTCTGAACACTTCTATCACCATAATCTCACATTTCTGAGGGACCATCACTGCCTGTTTTTTCCACCTATTGAGTGACACGATGCATCACCTCCTGCTTTCCCGCCTCCAACTAGCAGTGGTAATGCTAATGCAATTAAGTGCTTAGTGCATTTACCCCTGAAACCCATATGGGCAGGGATATCTGCATATCCTTAGCACAGCACTCTATGTGTTTTCATCTCCTAGTCAAGCACGCAGTGATGTGTTTAAGAGAACCATTGCTGCCTTAGACCCCTGCCAACACATGGAGCAATCAGACCAGTGATCCACTATCAGTGATAAAAATCACTGGAGAATTTGTCCTGTTAAATTATCACTACCTTCCTCCTTTCTCTTGATCTTTCTATGCTATTTAACAAACAACATACAGAAAAGCTTCACATCTGTCACTGAATCACAAGCCACTTCTACCAGGGAAGTGCAGTTGTTTCACACTATGGGACAACCTTAAGTTCAGGAGAGAGTAGAGAGAAGATTTGAGGTGCTTGGGGGCTAAATACAATGTTTAAGAAATATAAAAACCAGAAGCAATCTGAAGTGAACTAAGGATGAGATAAAATCTAGGTCTAGGCATCTAAGAGGTTCCAGTCAATCCTTCCATGCCATCATCCCTCTTCTCCCCAGAATAAAAGCTAGAAAAATTATGCCAAGCATTTTCTATTGACTCAGATGTAAACAGGCCAGCTATCCAAACAGCACTCTAGGTTTTCCTGGAATGTATCCTCATGTAGTTCAGCTTACCCAATTTCTGCTCTCAAAGTATCACACTGGACACAGCACTGCTGTAGCTATGACTTGAGACCCCGGCCCCATCAGTAACACTCACCAGTTCGTTGGATTGCCACACTTGCTATCTCCACGCTCTTCTCCTGAATCTTCTGCCATGAGCTGTCTGCCCCTCTCACCCACTCGCTCACAAGACATCTGTAGGCACCCCCATCCACCGATGAGGCCTGGGATACAGATAACCAATATGTGTCATTTGCTCCCGTGTCCAGGCGGATATCTCCATTACGGTAGCGCTCTTCATAGCCAGGACCTGGCTGAAATTTGCCCTCATGAGTCAAAGATAGGATGTCTCGCCAAGTTGATCCACTTTTGATCTGCCAAGTCACATGCAGGTGAGTGTGCTCTGGTGAGGCGGTAATTGCTGAGCAGCGCAACTTGAAGGAGTCACCCTCAGACAGCCTGAGAGACATTGAGGAACGTCCTTTTGAACCACTCACCAACAAGCCATCAGAAATCACTATTTAAAAAAGAAAAAGATGAAAAAAACATGGTCATCACAAAATGGACACAAGAAGAGAACATCCACACTGACCTGTTCAGGTATGAGGCAGTAAAACTATTACAGAGCAACATATGGCCAATTATTCCTTCTTCCACACATAAATATATTCCAGGAACAAGGAAATTCAGCTGAAAATCCATTAAAGGAAGTGCTTCACTTTAAACAAGCCAAGACAAGCATTCGAATTCATTTATCCTTCCCCTCTCTTTAGTTTCTCATCCAAACATCATCGTTCTGACTATTTGCATCCAGAACCATATTGATTTTCATGGGAGTAAAAAGATAAGATACATGAAAAAAGTAGTCTCCCAAGTTATTTCTGCAGAACTCTATATCAGAGAGTAAAGCTAGGGCATGACAACAGTATCAACATGCTAAAGGGGAAAAGGCAGATGACCTCCTTCATACAGAAAGATTCCTAAATGACACTATAAATAAGAGAGAGAAGACAGGCTGTGTTTTTTACCTGAAGTTAGCCTCTCTACCTAGAGGCTTAGGGACATTAAGTATTTGCACACATCTTCAGAAAACCCACTGCTTATTTTTCCCATTTTTATTTACTTATTTACTAGACAGAAAAAAGGAAAGTGGTATTTATAGTAAACAGCCTCTCTTCTCTTTTTCACCTTACTTGCCTTTATTACCATTCTTCACAATTTTCGATTCTGGCTTTAGGAAAATTAAACAGGAACAGGGAGAAGAAAAAAGAAATCACAGCATTCATAAGCAACAGAAATTCAATATTCTTAAGGGTACATCTATAATCAATATCAAAAACAAATTCAGAGCACACCTCACTCTTCAGAAATACCTTTCACTTGGACCTCTGCATCATAATTTCCCTGAACGGTGGCATCAGTGCTGGGCGTGGAGCATTTGTATCTCCCCTGGTCAGTCTGCTGGATGTTTCTAATCACAAGTTCCACAGCATCGTTGCTGCTCCGTCTCAGTTTGATATCCCCGTTGCCCACACGTTTTTGGTACTCCTCAGAGGTGAATGTAGAATCCCAGGTACTCACTATCCGCAGAAAGTCAGTCTCCCGGGAGAACTCCCAGTCAAAGTTCTGTTCACTGGGTCCATCGTAGTCACTAACGCTGCAAGGGATCACCACTTCTGTGCCCACGACTCGAATAAGAGGACCCTTGGGCACCCTCACAACACGCCCTCTGCAGAAAGCTAGGCAGGAGAACAGAGAGAGAGAGAGAGAGAGAATACACAGTTAACACAGGAATCATCAGGATAGAATTTGACGGAAAAAAACATGAAACAGAATAAGGTTGGGCACTCCTCTCTGCAGAAAGCTAGAAGTAGTAAGAGCAGTATTTCCCATTAACATTTAATGTCACTGGAGTAGGAGCCCCTAAACACACTATTTTTAGTGTGGGCAATCTTTGTCTCATTGCTTATTTAGTAACATATTAGGGTAATGAAATACTGAGGGAGAGAAAACTGTAAGGAGGAAAAAAAATGAGAGCGCTATCCATAGATCCAATGGGTAGCAGTTTCTCTACTACAAGCCAAGTGCTATGTAAGACACTGAAACAACATTAATAAGTGGTTTTCGTTACTACAGCGAGGGCATAAATCTAATCAGGCGTTTTTATAAGTCTTCTGCTGACATAAGTAGAGGGTTCACAGTAGGAAACTAACTCTCCCCTAGCTTGAGGGACTTAAAAATGGTAAGTTCACATTCTCAAAAAATTAGCATAGTCACTTCTGCCCTGAAAGGTCATGGCTTCTCTAACACAGGAGAGCTTCCTTGCCCTCCTAATTGATTTAAAATGAAGAACTGATTTCAACAGACAGTTTGCTTGAATAGATACCTGCAACCAGACCTGTTTCTAGCACACATTTCTTCTTTGGTGGAAGCCCCAGAACATGGGAGCAGAAGCAGAGCAGGCTCCCTCCAAAGCAGAGGAGCACACAGCGTTCAGACCATGTCTTCTGAGACTCTCTCACTAGGACAGAAAGGCAACAGCAATTCTCTGCAGAAGGCTGGCAAAACAGAATGCCATGCTCCAGGCAAAAGTGTGAACCACTTAACTAGCCAGAGGACCTGGCAAAGATGCAGCAGGAGACTTTTCTGGCTGATTCAGCTCTGTAGCCCAAACAACAACCCCAGCAGCTGCACATGGATTTTAGCTGGTTCTTACTTCTCAAAAGAGCAAACTGCTTTGATTCATAGTTCTGACCAGAAAAATCTTTTCAGAAAGAGAGGGGGCTACTACCTAAACACAGCCTCCAAACGTAAACAGCCTACTACATCCCACCAGCTCCACAGCCATAGCAAAATATTTTGGCAGCCAGGTAGAACAGGAGAAGCCAGAACACTGAAGGACACATCTTGCTAAAACCAAGCAGAGGGCCGTAACAACATCAAACACAGCCAGACCAAAATGTTGATCTGAGACCCCACAGAGGCAAAGGCACATTTAAACAAACAAACCCCCTAACACACAAAGTCCAGCAACTCACAACTCTCATTCACCAGCAACACTGGGAAAGCCATCAGCTAGTGACATGAACGCCAAGATACTTGCTGAGCTTTCCCCTCCTATCACTCCATATGTCTTCTTGCTGTAGATTAAGACCCCACTCACTGGCTCAGAACCATCATGCCAACAGTTGTCCAGGTGTGAGCAAAGAAGTTAGTCTCGTGGAGAGAAATCACCCACTGGGGAGCCTCTTACAAAGTGCAACTTGTCCCCTTCAGAGCAGCATGGAGAAGGATGTGCTAAAGAACCAAGATTCTTGTGGGCATCTGAAAACTACAAAAGCATCTGTACACACTGAGCAAAACTACAACAGAAAAAGCATATTTTTATCCCCAGTTACAGTTCAGCAAACAGCTGAACCAAGAACTGACACTATCTTTACCTCCCCAGTTCATAATTTCCAGCATGCTCTTTGCTTTGCAGGCTGTTCACGTGTACAGGCTCAGTCATAATAGTCCAGTCTCCTCATTGTCATGACCTTCTGTATTCAACATTCGTACTCCATTAAGCTTATTTGTAATGCAGACTGGGGTTAATCTCTTACCCCTTATATCCCTCCCAGAAGACGGTTATTATGTACCTGATCAAGTGATTGACTAGTCCTAATAAGGAGGCTGGACTTCTCCGCACCATTCACATGTGAATCAGAGAGAAAAAAACTCCGCCGCCAACGTATAGTCCCACAATCAGATATCTTTAAGGACATCTCTCTAAACACCAGCACCATACAGTAAAATCATTGATACAGAAAAATAACCATCAAAAAAAAAAGTTGCAGGGCTCCGACATATTTCCTCACTAGGTTTTAGGTTGCAGTTCCATTCAATCCTTCACCTTATCCTCTTACAGAAAGCAGTAACGGCAGCAGGTAAGCTTTAAAGCACTGCCTGACAGCCAAGCCAGCTTCCAGCAGACCACTAAGAGAAGTCAGCTCAGGATCCTGACTGAGGGCACTCCTCAAACGCTGACTTCTTTCTAGAAAACGCTCTCCTGTGACACTAAAACAAGAACACAACACTGTTCTGCATGTGTCTTCAGCTGCAGACCCACATACCATGCACTGCACTAATCCCATCCAGAGGTGACGAAGGCATGACTAATGTGGCAAGGGCTGCACATTTGTGTTGGAGATTAGCACCGACAGCTCAGTTTCTCTTCTTCCAAGGTCACTAAAGATGCTCTGACACTAAATGAACGTAGAAGGTGATCAGCACCTTCATAAGAGAAGGCAGGCCACAGAGACTGCTCAACATACCTGTTCAGAGTCTGTACCCTACTGTTGTAAAGCAACGACTATCCCCCTCCTCACAGCACAGTCCCACAAGCAATTCCAGTTTAACACAAAGTTGGAAGGAAGGTGGTGGAACAGGCTGAAGGAGAGAAGAGGGACAGCCTGTAACAGTTATAATTTTATATTTTACAAACAATAACATTTGTTACTGCTAAGATAAATTAGGATTCTTGTATGGCAGGAGCACACAGAGACAGCATCCCAAGATAAGAGAACCTACTGCAGAGCATCTGCTGTGCCCTGCCTCCAGGTAAGGAGGAACGTGCACAGGGCAGATGCTCCAAGGGTGAGCTGCATTTCTAGGTGACCCAGGAGGCTCAACACCCAACAAGCTGTGAATTCAGGGGTCTGCCTTTTGTCCTGCAGCAGTCAACAGGAAGATCATCCCCAGCTACTAAACCAGGTGTTATGTTCTTTGCTGTGCATTAGTGATTAACATTTCATGTAGCTGTAGCAGAAGGCACGGAGCTACAGACAGTGGTCTTGACAAGAGGTGAGCTCCATTCTACTGTGGCAGATGAGGAGCTTTTACAAATATTTTATTCCTGCAGTGCACTGTGTTACTCCCATATACCCCTTCCATCTTCCCAGAGCAATCGAAATGCAGCTTTCATAATATGAGCGTTTCAAACTCTGTAAATTTGTTGGAAACATTTACTTTTCATGACACCTAATAGATTTCACTGTTAATATAAGGTGACACGTTCTTAATGAATTCACTTGAATCCTATTTAACTGTAGAAACAGATGGAGGAGGACAGACCAGTTTATACACTAGTGACAGAAAACAACAGAACTCTGACAATTCAGTATTTTTCAGTATCACTGAGACCAAAGATGTGTATTTAGTAGGAACTCAATAACTGATTCTGTACCATAAACTGCAATACAGGACATCAAACCTGCCTGAGCAAAAGATTAATTGCCTAAATACAAAACTTTATTTTTTACAGAGTTCCCAGACCACCAGATGAAATTGCAATGAACTATTTTCCAAAACAAAAGGTAATGGAGCCCCTGTAAGGAGGCCAGCACACAAATACAAGGGATGGGACTTGCTCCTTGGACTCATTAGACAGGTAACAGGACTACCAGGCAACACTGGTGCTTTTACAGGGCTGGGCCAGAAATACCCAAGAAGTAGGGCAACCACAGAGCCTTCATGGCTGTTTGTCAAGCACTTGATTAGAGGATTCTCCCAAGGGAATGCATGAAATACTCCACCAGGATCACAAGCAAAGTGTGGCTCAAGGAAGAATAATAAACTGGGATCTGCCATATTAATAATACAGAGGCAAGATAGCCCAGAGATAGCCTAGGCAGTTTTGAGCTAGTGTTTGTTCCCTAGCAATGGTCCATGAAGTACTAAAATTAATTTGTCCCATTACCTAGATGCACCATCTCATTGCTGTCATTAAATTAAATTCTTTCAAAGACAACAAGGAAAGCAGGTGACTGAATAGATAGGTTGTGAAGTCAATCCAAATACATTAAATAGCGACCTGTCATTTTTAGGATAACCAAGAAAACAAGGCAGCAAAATTGTGCAGGATCTACAGAACAGGTAGTCTGTTTAAATTCACAACAAGCTACACAACTCCTCAGGGAAAGGGCTGGTGAGGACTTCCTCTTGCATTAAGGACATTCCTATAGACGAGAAAAATCTTCTAGGACCTTCATCTTCACACAGGTTTTGCATCCACATATCATTTCTGAAAGAACAAGATGAGAACTAATCTGTGGAGTCACCCACAAGGCTGAGAAGGTATTGTCATTGCAAACAACACACTTTTGCTTCAGCACTCTCTTACACAAGGTGCTTCCTCCAGCCTGCACTAGACAGCTCTATCTGATAAGAAAACATGTTCTCTTAGCAGCCCAGAGAAGGAGGTCGAGTATGTCCGCCAGCCAAAGGAAAACGCGATGTGACATGCAGTAGGAAGCCAATTAAAGCCAAAAAAGTAAGAGCTGAAGAACAAGTAAATTGGCTCAGACTAAGCACTCAAGCCGCTGCATCAGAAATGCTTAGAACACACAGTCCAGTTCCTCAACCAAGGCAGTCACAGGAGACACAGAGACAACTTTGCTGATGCCTTTTAATCTCAAAAGAGCATTCCAAACAAAAAGGTGTTTCATTTGGCAACTAAACATTACCATGTGTGGGAAAGAAATACAGCAGGTATTTCAATTCACAACAGTTGAGGACAGGGAAAAAAATACTGCAGCCAACTTTGCAAATGGTGGTAACGATTTTTCCTCCCTGAACTCTTCCATTTATTTTCAATCTAGGCACCACTTTGCTGCAGCACTGTGAACGAGGGCCTTGAGCAGGGACAACCTTTCTTGTGCCACACTAGAGAATAACCAATGGATTCTCCACCATTAAAGCTGCGT